TATTATATATATTTTATTTATTTCTGATGGGATTTATAGCACTGAGATTAGGTGAATTAGTTAAGATACCCCTTCCCCCTCCACAGTTTATTTTATGTGCTGTATATATCTTTCTCTGTTAGCTAACATTAGCTTGTGCTTCACTGAGCACAACCTAATGTTCTCCCCTTCACAAATCCACCTTTTCCCTCTGGTATGCTATGTATGTAAGCACTTTCCATAATTTTTTTTTTTTCATTTTGTTATTATTTATTATGACTATTTTATTATTTTGTTATTACTATAATATTATTATTTCTATATTACTATTAGGGGGCTGCAGGCTTAGCACTGTTGCCTCGCAGCAAGAAGGTTGCCGGCTCGCGTCCCTGTGGGGGCACCGGAATCCTTCTGCGTGGAGTTTGCATGTTCTCCACGTGCAGTGTGGGTTCCCTCCGGGTTCTCCGGCTTCCTCTCACAGTCTGTAGGTGGAGGACAGGTGGACGTAGTGGAACAATTAGAACCAGAACGGACGCCAACCGTTCTTCATTGTGTCAGCCACAGTCCTGATTCTCTCTGAGAGTCCCGGAATTCCTATAGGGGCTGGCTCTTCTACGGGGGGATCCACGTCCTGCTCTTGTTGAGGCCTGATGTTTTCCGCATTAGCTTCTAATGCCTCCAACAACTGACCTCTGACCTCTACGAGCTCTACTTCCAGGGCCTCCATTTGCCGGTGTGTCGACTCGTTCTCGTTTTTCAACACGTTGTAGTTGTGTTGAACATCTTGGAGCTCTCTGACAATATTTTGATGCTTCTGCTCCTGTTTTTGCAGGGCCTCGTCCTTTTGCCTCATGGCTTCTTCCCTGTGGAGCAGATTGCCGTTGGTTTCCTTGAGTTGCGTTTTCAAGGCCTTGTGCTTTTGGTGCATCAACTCCGTCTCGTTTGTCAACATTTTACATTTGTGTTGAACGTCTTGGAGCTCTTTTAGAGTCTTTTGAAGCTCTTTCCATTGTTTTCTCAGGGCCTGGTCTTTTTTATCCAGAGCTTCTTCTCTAACACACAACCTTTTGTTGGCCTCTTCCAGTTGTGTTTTCAAGGCCTCGTGCTGTTGGCGCATCAACTCCTTCTCGTTCTTCACCACACTGCAGTCGTGTTGAACGTCTTTGAGCTCGCTGAAAGCATTTTCAAGCTCCTGCATTTTTTGTTGCAGAGCAGCTTCAGTGAGTCTCAAAGCCTCCTGCTGGTCACACAGCTTTCTGTTGATGCTGTCAACCTCTCTGTCCTGGGCCTGGTTTCTGTGGCGCAGTGACTCATTTTCTTGGTTCACCACACCACAGTTGTGTGCAAGGCTTTGGTTTTCTTGCAGGACCTTTGCAAGCTCCACACGTTGTTCTTCAAAGGCCCTGCCCTGTTCTGTCATGGCCTCTTCTCCAGCACGCAACATTTTCTCGAGCTCCTGAACTTTTTGGTTTAGGAGCTGATTTTGCTGGTGAAGAGACTCATTCTCCTGCTTTGGCCTTTCTAGTTCCTGATCAAGCGTTTCCACTTCATACACCAGGGCCTCAATATCTTCGTCGTACTTCTTCTTCAGCTGTTTTAGTTCATGCTGGCAGGTTTTCTTCTCATCTTCCAGGTTCCTAAACTTCGCCTGCAGCTCCTTGTTACGTTCATGAAGCTCTTCATAGTTGTTATTCAGGACCTGGTTTTTGCAGGACAGAGAACTGAGTCGTTTGTGGAGTGCGTCGTTCTCCTCAAAATACACCTCGTTTTCTATTTGGAGAGCCGTCTTGTTCTTCTTGGCTTTGTAGTGCTCAACTTTGCTCTGAAGCTCCTCGTTTGTCTTGTAGAGGTAGCGGATCTCTCTTTTGAGGGACTCTATGGTGTGGTTGAGAGTTCGATTTTCTCTGAAGAAAGTTTCGTTCTGTTCTCTCAGCTCCAACAATGTGAGGGGTTCCTTGGGTCGGTTCATTGTGCTGGCGTTCTGTCTGTTTGGATCAGTTTTACAACAGCGCTTCTGGTACGTGACACCTGACTGGCAATGAGTTCTTACTGTCTGTCTGCTGCCTGTATTTAGGGATTCCTGATTCCTGATGCCTTTGATGATGTAACAAAGTCAGGTTCTATGTCACACGGAATGCTATGATGTCACCTCTTGTGCTTGCATCCCATTGGTCTCTCTCTCTCTCTCTCTCTCTCTCTCTCTCTCTCTCTCTCTCTCTCTCTCTNCTTTTATTATGACACAAGAATTATTCAAATAGACCTTGTGGTTGCAGAGATATACTGTTTATATTATGGGTATGTAATTTTCGAGAAAAGGCCTGAAAAATAGCTCAGGGCTTAAAGGGTTAAGTAAATGTAACGGAGTAAAGGTAACTCGTTACTACCCACCTCTGCTCTTCAGCAAAAGTGTCAAAAAAAAAAGTGCATTTGGTTCAGATGTGATTCACTGAAGAACCTCCATCCTGCAGAACACAGAACCATGTTCACTGAGAGAAAAGTCTGTTCATGTCATTCAGACATCAGAGCAACACGTTCTGTAGTGAAGTGAAATTATGGTTTCAGCTTCTAACATGTGACAAGAAGGAGGTTTAAACCAAACTGAGAGATTTTTCTTTTTTTTCTTTGAGTGTTTATTTTCACACATTTCTTTTGTTTTGGAGAGGTGTCAGCTTTTCCTCTTTTTGATGTCATCATGGTCTCTGAATCGCTCTTTGTCTGGTCCCTCCCCCAGAACCAGCTTGCCTTGGGAGACCCTACCAGGGGCTAATGCCCCGGACAGCATAGCTCCCAGGATCACAGGGACACTCAAACCCCTCCACCGCG